CCCCCCCCAATGTTCTAAGAGAATGACCGATACACTCAATAAAATCTCCCCACTCAGGAATCAAATTGTCAGACTTAATAAATAGTCCCCTTTTCTGGAAGGAAACTGCTTCCACTTACAGGAATGAAACTGATGTGCTCTTTAAAAAATCCCCCTTTTCTGAAAGGAAATTGATATACTCATAACTCAATAAAATACTCTCCCCTCTCCGGAGGAAACTGATACTCTCAATAAAATACTCTCCCCTCTCGGAAATCAAACTGAACTCAATAACATACACCCTCCCGATTCGGGAATCAAACGGATACATATATCAATAAAATACCCTCCACTCTCGGGAATCAAACAGACATACTCAATCAAATATCTTCCTCTGTCAGGAATGAAACTGATATACTCAATAAAATATCTTCCTCTCTCAGGAATGAAACTGATATACTCAATCAAATATCTTCCTCTCTCAGGAATGAAACTGATATACTCAATCAAATATCTTCCTCTCTCAGGAATGAAACTGATGTACTCAATCAAATACCCTCCACTCTCAGGAATCAAGATCTATACACTCAATAACATATTACGTTCCCCAATCGGGAATCAAACTCCCATCTAACCATAAAACCTCAGCAGGCATTTAGAGAATACTTGACACAACTTTTGACATTTATACAAAGAGCAAATTTTCCCCAAAGTCCTTTCATTCATTGACATATCTTTCTTCCCATTCCGTTTGGAAAAATAAAACTGGCCCCTTCCCAGGCTCTGTGGGTATTCCAGAGCGGCCTCAGGTTTCTCTCCATCTCTCTACTGTGGTCTGGTTCCACATGACAAGGACCAGGAGAGACAGACAGTCCATCAATAAGGTCGCTGTCAGAACCGCCCACTTTGGGAGTCCATGGGCTCCCCAGCACGCCCACCACCCAGCCAACTAACACAGCTCAATACAAGCACGCCCGTCACCCAGCCAACTAACACAGCTCAATACAAGCACGCCCGCCACCCAGCCAACTAACACAGCTCAATACAAGCACGCCCGCCACCCAGCCAACTAACACAGCTCAATACAAGCACGCCCGCCACCCAG